TTTATGCTAATGAAGCCCGGGAAATTCAAATCCCGGGCTTCATTAGCAAGTGCGGTATGCATACATTACCCCGCTAGTTCGAACTAGCGGGGTAGTGTAGACATACCCTCAGTCTCTCCTCATAGGTCATGCGCTCCAGCCCCCTAATCATTTTGGTCGCCCTCCGCTGGACCCTCTCCAATGCGTCCACATCCTTTCTATAGTGGGGGGCCCAGAACTGGACACAATATTTCAGATGTGACCTCACCAGGGCCAAATAAAGGGGAATAATCACTTATCTAGATCAGCTGGCAATGCTGCTCCTAATGCACCCCAATATGCCATTAACCTTCTTGGCTGCAAGGACACACTGCCAGTTACCTCCTCATAGAAGCTAATCAGATTGGTCAGGCACGACTTGCCCTTGAATCCATGTTGATTATTCCTGATCACTTTCCCCTCTTCCAAGTGCTTCAAAATTGTTTCCTTTAGTATCCCCTCCATGATTTTTCCAGGGACTGAGGTGAGGCTGACTGGTCTGTATTTCCCTGGATTGTCCTTCTTCCCTTTTTAAAAGATGGGCACTACATTTGCCTTTTTCCAGTCATCTGGGATCTCTCCCCATCTCCACGAGTTTTCAAAGATAGTGGCCAAAGGCTCCGCAATAACACTTGCCAACTCCCTCAGTATCCTTGGATGCATTAAATCTGTGCCCATGGATTTTTGCATGTTTAGCTTTTCTAAACAGTTCCTAACTTGTTCTTTCCCCACCAAGGGCTGTCCACCTCCTTCGCATACTGGGTTACCTAGTGCATTTGTCTGGGAGCTGACCTTGTCCATGAAGACTGAGGCAAAGAAAGCATTGAGTACTTCAGCTTTTCTAGGTCACTAGGTTACCTCCCTCACCCAGTAAGGGCCCCACACCCTCTCTGATCCCCTCGTATTGCTACCATGCCTGTAGAAACCTTTCTTGTTATTCTTCACATCATTTGCCAGCTGCAATTCCAATTATGCTTTTGCCTTTCTGATTACATCCTGCATGCTCAAGCAATATATTTATATTCCTCCCTAGTCATCTGTCCAAATTTCCACTTCCTCTATGCTTCCATTTTGCGTTTAAGCTGACCAAGGAGTTCACTGCTAAGCCAAGCTTGTCACCTATCATATTTGCTTTTCTTACTGTGCATCAGGATGGTTTGTTCGTGTGCCTTCAATAAGGCTTCTTTAAAATACAATCAGCTCTCCTGGATTCCTTTCCCCTTCATGTTAGCATCCCAGGGGATCCTGCCCATCAGTTCTCTTAGTGAGCCAGTGTCAGCTTTTCTGAAGTCCTGGGTCTGTATTTTGCTGCTGTCCTTTTTTTCTTTGGTCAGGATCGAGGTGGGTGACAGCCTGGGAAGCAGTGATCAGGAGATGGTAGATTTCAGGGTCCTGACCAAAGGAAGAAAGGAGAGCAGCAAAATACACACCCTGGACTTCAGAAAAGGAGACTTTGACTCCCTCAGGGTATGTCTACACTACCATCCTAGTTCGAACTAGGGTGGTTAATGTAGGCAACCGAAGCTGCAAATGAAGCCCGGGATTTAAATATCCCGGGCTTCATTTGAATCTTGCCGGGCGCCGCCATTTTTAAAGCCCTGGTAGTTTGGACTCCGTGCCCGCGGCTACACGCGGCACGTGGAACGAGGTGTACCGGTAGTTTGGATTAGAGAGCCTAATCCAAACTACCTACTCCGTGCCACGTGTAGCCACGGGCATGGAGTCCGAACTACCAGGGCTTAAAAAATGGCAACACCTGGCAAGATGCAAATGAAGCCTGGGATATTTAAATCCCGGGCTTCATTTGCAGCTTCGGTTGCCTACATTAACCACCCTAGTTCGAACTAGGATGGTAGTGTAGACATACCCTGAGGGAGTCAAAGTCTCCTTTTCTGAAGTCCAGGGTGTGTATTTTGCTGCTCTCCTTTCTTCCTTTGGTCAGGACCCTGAAATCTACCATCTCCTGATCACTGCTTCCCAGGCTGTCACCCACCTCTACTTCCCCTACTAGTTCCTCCCTGTTTGTGAGCAGCAGGTCAAGCTGTGCATGGCCCCTGGTCGGTTCCTTCAGCACTTGTACGAAGAAGTTATCCCCAACATTCTCCAAAAACTTCCTGCATTGTCTGTGCGCTGCTGTATTGGTCTCCCAGCAGACGTCAGGGTGATTAAAGTCCCCCATAAGAACCAAGGCCTGCAATCTGGAAGCTTCTCTCAGTTGTCTGAAGAAAGCCTTGTCTACCTCATCCACTTGATTCGAAAAAGAGCATCTGGACTACAATCAGTACTTTCAAAAAGAAAGCAGTCTGGATGCTCTCCTTCGAAAAAGCACAGTTTGTGTTATAATGCCTTTTTTTGAAAGAGCACTTTTGAAAAAAGGCGTTATTCCTCATAAAACGAGGTTTTCCACAGTCGACACAACCGCCACGTTCTTTTGGTTTTACTGTTGACAGAACACGGCGGCAGTCTAGACGCAGGTGAAGTTTTTTTCGAAAACACTTTTTTCAAAAACAAAAGCTAAAAAAACCTTGTAGTCTAAACACACCCTCAGGCTACATATACACTGCCCGGCTGTTCCAAAATAAGCTAATCCAAAATTAGCTTATTTCAAAATAGCAGGACTACACTGCAGGGAAGCCTCAACATTAGTCCGAGGCAGGCTCCCCTAAGGTAGACGCGCTATCTCCATTTAGAGCCCCAGGAGGCAATGAGGAGGAAGAACTTCGAATGGCTCTGGTGAGGCCAGCGAAGCAGCAGTTGTGGGTCTCCACACACCTTATTTCGAAATAGCTATTTCGAAAGAGGCGTTACTCCTCGCAGAAACAGGTTTATAGATTTCAAATAAGCCGCCTGTTACTTTGAAATGATTTCGAAATAACAGAATGGCTGTGTAGACACTCGCATTGTTCTCAAAATAACGGTGTCGTATAGACGCACCCTTAGATGTAAATTAGGGATGAAAAGGGTTAACTGGTTAACCGGCAAGCCTTGCCTTACCAGCATGCTTTCTAGGGGAAGCGGTGAACCGGCGCCTGGCCCAGCTGCTGCAGCGCCCCCCTCCCGTCGCCCACGGCCCGGTGAGCAGTTAGCTAGCTCAACCGATAGTTCAACCAGTTAACAATTTACATGGGATTTGACACCCCTCATGGAAACGCCCTTCCGTTGTCTCTGGCCTCCCCTTGCTCAACAGCCATTGGAGATGCAGGCAAAGAGCCGAGCCAGTGTTGCATTGTCAAGGGCAAACTTGGGTATT